ACTGCTGAGAGATTAGCTTTACAAAGTGAGAATTTAACTGGAATTGCAGCTCTGGGTAACAACAGGAAATGTTGCTCACAGCAACAGAAAATGTAGGATGATTAGGTTTTTGGGGGAAAAGGGAAAGAAAGTTACAGTAACTATGCAAACAGAATAAATAACAGCGCTGTCCTTCTCCAGAACCTTTCCAAGGATGTCAGAGCAATCTACAGCTATTCCCAATTAAAGGCTGCTGTGCTAAGGCCACAGCTTATTGCACCATCTAGGTCCCAAGCCTGACTGTACTCCTCATCTTCATAGTTCTATCCCTCTGCTGATCCTCACACCAGACATCAGCTGATGGTCAGGGACCCCATGGGGGGTTTGTGCGCTGCAGGACCGCAGCTGGGACTTGGCGTGTTGCCAAGTGCTCCTTGTACATAAGTAACGAGATGGCCTCATCAAGAGACAGACAAGACAAAAGGTTTCCACCAAGTGAGAAAACTCCAAGCACAGAAGGGAAGGCCCTCCCCACACTGAGCGTGCTGTGCTCAGCGACTCAGCCCAGCAGAGCAAGCGGGCTGGGAAAGCCAGCCGTCTTTCAGACAAAAATGTAAAAAAGCAGCAGGAGGAGAAAAAGGGAAAGACAAGGTCAAGTTAGAGGGAGACAAGTTTCAGACAAACCCTCCCCTCCCCAGAGGAGAGCACCTCAACAGACATTGTAGTGGAGTCAGCAATGCAGAAGATACTACTCAGCAGGGGAGTGCGTCATGTTAAAATACAAACCCTTGTTTACATGCTCCCCCAAGTTCCTTAACTGTTGCTGAGAATTTTAGGAAATAGTTTGCATTGGACTTGTTTTATTGCACGTTTCCCACCAACTTCCAGTTCCAGTTTCTACTTCTATTCTTAATTTTTAATCACCGCTGGGACAAAACCGTAACATTTAGATACTGCCTTGCTAAGAAAACTGGAGTAACTGGGAGTTATATTAACAATACTTAAATACAGTCTATTTAAAGGTTTGAACACATCTTGTTAGAACACTGCATAAATTAACCCAACCTAATTCTCTAGGATGTAACAAGATCTGAAAAGCTCCAAGTTTCATGTTCTCTCTTACCACCCACTTAAAAAACCAAAACCCAACATGCTGGGGTTAGCTTAGGTTGCAAACGAAAACAAAATTCACATTCAACTGAATAAATGCAATTTACTCCTTGATGCAACAAAGATGATGCCACAACCAGCTCAAAACCAAAGCAAGAAGAGGTTCTCTCCCGCCCCCTCCATGCATATCCCCCCTCATTTTTGCTGTTAATGGTGCCCCCCAGCCTGTCTGCTCAGGATTCTTAACTGCTCACTCCATCCCTCCCCACTGTCTGAAACCATCCCTGGATGGAGCAAAGCGTGCCCTGTTGCCGCTGGGCTTGCAGTCTCCCCTGCAATGCTTGCACTGGCGGCCAGACAAAGCAAACTCCAGTTGCATCACGGAGCAAACTCATTTTCCAGCAACCTCCCAGCCCGGAGTTTACCGCTACTGTAATCCGGTGCTGTCAACAACGCCGCCTTTGTTGCGCGCCCATGTGCGCCGCTCGCTTGCTGGTCGGGTTGTTGTTTTGGGTGTTTTATTTTTTTTTTTTAATTATTATTATTTATTTTAAGGAGAATTTTTGTTTCAAATGAGTAATCTGTTTTTGAAAGATTTCTCCTCTGTGCTGGCTCCACCCTGTACTGTAAACGAGACATTACCTTATACAAGAATGAATCTGCTGCATTCCTCTGTCTAGCTGCCTCGCAGCACATTTCCTACGCTCACAGCAGCCCCGGCAGTGCATGCTCTCCCACCCCTTCCCCCCCACCTTTTTCTCTTTTTTCTTTCCCTTTTTTTTTTTCCTTTTCACTGCCTCGCTGTGTTTTTGTGTAAATGATCTCACATGACTCAACAAATCCATCTGCCTGGAGCAGGCCAAGTTTGGAGCCTTCCCAGGAGGGAGGAGAAGAATTGCTTTGTGGAAAGGACCTGGAGCTTTGCCCTTTCTCTGGCTCAAATTACCCGCCTGTCAGGCCTGACGGATTTGGCTAAAAATAAAAGGAAGCGGGCCGTGAAAAGGAGATGAATGAGCTCAGCAGTTCCTTAGATAACATGGGGTCTGGTGTCGCCCAAAGATCCCAGAGCAGGAACTTCGGATGCCGGAGATGTAAGTGTGGTGCTGCAGCCTCAGTGAACTCGGCTGCTGGAGGACCAAAAAAAAAAAAAGGCACAAAAAAAGGCAAAACCAACCATACGCTGTTGGAAATAAATGCATTAAAGACACTCAGAGCAGGAAAACTGCCTGCTGTAGATTTGGGCTTGTAAACGGGGAGATTTATGGGGTTTCCAGAGGGGAAAGGGGGTGTGAGGGGGTGTGGCAGGGGGCTGTACGTGATGTCAGCCTCCCGCCCTGACCAGGGAGCCTCTGCATCCTTCCTGCAAATGCCTGCCCAGCGCCCGCAGCGGGTATTAAGCACTTAGTTTGGCAATGTAATGACACACTGCAACAATCTGTAATGCGAGGCAGTCAGCAAAGCCCTGGCTCGAAAAGCTCTTTCTCCTAACCATTAACCATATGTTTGGCTCCGCCGCCGCCCAAGCGAGCGGGTGTTCCAGCGCACCATCTGGTTTCTATCCACACAAGCAACTGCAAAGCGCAGAGTATTTCCCTCTGGAGCTGTGTCTTCCTCCCTGGCCCCTGATCCCCACCCGACTCCCCACTCCTCTGCTCCCTTCCTCATCTTCCTCCTTCCACCCCTTTCCAGCAGCAACTTCACCTCCCTGTCCCACTAGCGGTGGAGACCACGACCACCCCACCAAAGGTGCAGCAGAAGAGCAGTCTTGTGCTGCCTTCTGTGAGCTCACATGCCTACACACATGTGTGTACACACACACACAGAGGGACTGCACCCCTCATCACCAATGTCTGGGGTATTGCATTAAAACATAAGTGTGTTCTTGAGTGGTCCAGGAGCCGTTGCAGGGTCCATCACATCTCGCTCACGCACACATGCACACAGCGAGTGCTCAGTTTGGATTACATCAACTCTGTGCCGACACTGCAAAAGGACTTCAAGAATGTACCTAACAACAGGAGGACCAATAGCAGTTTTATCTCCTGCTCTCGAGCAGGGCTTTCTATGGACATCAGGTGTTGGTACCCCATCCCATCAAAACAAGAACGCTCTGGGGGGACAAAAAAGAAGTACAAAAGCAAAAAAAGAGATAGATAAATGGAATGAGAGCACGCTGAAGAAAAAGGAATGAAAATATTTACTTTTCCCATGATAACTAAACAAGCTCTTTCTGAAACGATAAAAAAATCTTTCAAGTGTTATATTTTAGAAGGCCTTGTACCATATGTTTGCTTTACGATTTTATGAATTCTAACTACTATTTATGTTTTTAAAGCACTTCCATCATTCCATTTGTTTCTGAAGTACCTATGGGACATCAGCAGTAATTTTCCCCTCAGGTTGGCCAATTTAAGATTAATCATGACCTATTGCAAGAAAGTATTCAGGGATGCAAGCAACTCCAACACTTGCTCCTTTAAAGTAAGTTTATATTCTGCAATGAGTCACACATACAGTGTTTATCCAAGTTACCAGTGCTACAAGGGAAAAAAAAAGCCCATTACATTTGCAAATACATACAAATCACAGCTGTAAGCACCCAACAGCTTATACCAGGACTTGTTTCTATGACTGGATATTGATTTTTTAAAATAATGTGTCATTATATCAATGTTGATACAGCAACTAGCTTCCTGGAGTATGCCATTTAATACTTAAAAGAAGCTGGCTTTAGGAAATATCAAATCCACACCCATTCATACCCTTTTTAAATGTCCTTCTTGGTCATGACTATAGGCAAAGCCACAACTGCTTTTTTCCTCACCATGCACCTAACGAAGAAAATGCACTTGCCAGTTAGAAACAGCTCAGTCTAAAGCAATGAGCTTTGCTGATCTCAATAAAATACTGCAGAACTTCAACTGTTGCTAGAAACCAAGAATCTACATTGGAAAAGATGATGCATATTTTTCAAACTTCCTCTGTATGAGAAATCAGTGAAAAAAAGCACACTGTAGGCCCTTATCCCAGAATCAAACAGGCGTGGGGAAAACCATATGCTTGTGAAAAGCCTGATGACTTCACTAGGATTGCCTAAGAAGATTGAGGATAGGATCTGCTCCCAATTACAAATGTGGAGTGCAATTTGCACTGTAAACTCCCCCGGCCTTCATTCTGCACTCCCCTTCAGTGAGGGAAATAATTAAAATTATTAAAACCATAAGAGATGCATTTTAGCTAGGAGTTTACTTTTCCTACAAAATAGGATCTAAGTATGTTAAAGTCCATTACTTCAAGACAATATGTTGCAAACATTAGTATGCTTAAATATCACACATTAAGTTTCCTACAACCATGCAATGAGAAATTGTCTTCAGACACAGAAAACAACCAGCAGTCATTCTCTAAAGCAGTAAAGGTCTAGGTCTGGGTCTTTCAGCAGATAATGATCTGCTCTGATGCAGAAATCGTTTTAAAGGGGGAATTCAAGGGAAATATTTGTAGATTCAGGGTTCTGCAGTCTGAAGGGACTGCTGATCATTTGACCTTCTTCCATGCAACAGGCATGGAGCTTCCCCGCCTACATTGACGAAGCTGTAAGAGGTCAAAGGAGAGAATCTCCTAGGGTTAAAAAAAAACCCGTTAAAAACCCCCAACAAAACGAAAAAACCCAGCCTCAGATACAACAGCCTGACATAAAGAAGGAAGCTACTGCAGCCCCAGCATCACTCCCCAGCACTGTGGGATTACCCACACCTTCTCATCTGGTCTGAATGAATTAACAGCCAGATACTGGGTCATGTTATACCTTGTCACCTTCCTCTACTCCTCAGCCCCTGACAAAGGGCCACTGGCAGCCTGAAAACCAGCCAGTTTTTAAAGCACAATAAAAAATGGTGTCACATTATTACCTGAATCCACTGAGTCCTCCTGCCAACAACGATGTTTATGCAATCACATTTTTCTGTTTTTAAAAACTTCTCTCTTGCCTCATTGCTCTGTGTGAAAAACAAAATAAAAGAGAAAATTGATCAACTGCAAGCAATTATCTATTTGTATTACAGCAGTTTTGCAGTAGATATTCAGGTCCTTTTGTTTTCTGCCTTACCTCATAAAAACACTAAACAAGAACAAGTCTTTTCCCCAAAATCACTGATTGATCAAACAGAAGCAACAGATACCAGTTTGGAGAGGCAGATGAGACACCACAGCAGAGCTACACAAAAGAACACAGCTCTCTATGCCCAAATCCTCTGCCCTCTTCCCAGGCCATCCTGCCCGGCAGCACCAGGACCAATGCCAACCAGACAGTGCCACCAAAAGCAGAAATACAGAGGGAGAGAAAGCTAATTAAATTTCTTTCAGTATCAACAGCAAATACATGCCACTAATAACCACAGCAGTGATGTAAAAATAATACTTGTAAAATTGCATTGATGGTAGATTACTTAATCATAAAGTTTCTCCATACTCTGTACTTACAACATTATTTAAGTAGTGACTCCACTTAAAATCCCCAACAGGGTCTTTCAGTGTCTTTGTTTACTCCTCGCTTCCCATATTAGTAGCTTTAAGCTTTAGTGTCAAATTCTCCTGCCAATACACTTCATAAAAGACATTTAAATAAGGAAGAAAAAAGCCCATATGGTAGAAATCCAGCTGAAGAGACAACCTCAACCCTCCACCCCCAATCCCTCTGAACGGACAGAAGACACATGCTAAGTAAAGGAAACTGGATTTTCAGTACTGGAAATGCCATTAGTATTTCATTGCTTTCTCTGAAAGCAAATTAAAAAAACCCTTCACTTAAAGGGAATGCAATTCATCGTGTACATGGTCTCTTGCCTACCTTCACAAGGGCATACACAGTTAAACCCAGACAGAGCACAGGTTGGGGGATATGGCTGCCATACCCTTCCTGCACTTCAGGGCTCAGGCTTTTGGCATACTCTGTCCATTGTAGACAAGGATGACTGAACAAGAAGTTTTGCTGTAAGATTTTGGTCACAGCAGTCTGACTGAGACACTCCCAAAAAAGCAGCTGAAAAGACCAAATTCTCGCAATCTCTGGAACAGAGTTTAAACACGGGTTTAGCCCAATGCCACACGACACAATGAACACAGTCTAGCCATGGCAGAGCAGAACAGAAGTGACCATTACCTCTGGCATCTGCTGCCAATGAGGGTAGGGTCACCTTACAAGCAAGGAGGGTCTCCTGATCCAGGTGACCTCCCTACTGCAGCCTGAAGTCATCTATGCTCAAAACAGAGCAGCCAAGATCTGGGCCAGGGGATGACAGGGAAAAACATGTCAGAACAAGAAAATTCACTTAATAGGGACAGAAAATTGGAGGGTTGGATGGGGAGAGACAAGAACTGGGGTTAGGCATGGAGAACTGCCTGCTGGCTGTGCAGCTGCAGCACTGCTGAAGAACCATGTCCAAGACTTTATGGTGCCAGTGCAAAATGCCATTTGTTTGCTTCCTGCAAAGTCTTTGGTGTACCACAAGTATGTTGAAGAGAGAATGCTGATGAGTTCAAGCACTCAGCCCTGAGAAGGGAGGGAAATGTGGCAGGTGAGCGCTGCCTGCTGCAGCTGCCTTCACTCTTGGCACATGGGATGTACCTGAGCTGTGCATCAGGGCTTCAGGGCAAGAGTGCATGACAACTCTAACAGCTGTTGGCAGCAAGGATGGCAGCCACCCTGACACTCCCTGCCACCCTCTCAGCGTCCAGGCAGATGAGCTGTGCCTTGGAGAGCTGCCACGCAGCTCCAATGAAGCACTACACCAGTCATTTAAACTCAGTATTCCTCAAGTGGCCATTAACAGTGAATTGCCAACCAACCTGAAAACCTGGCTTCTCTCAACTAAAAGTAATGAACAGTCACAGCAGAAAGGAACTGTATTTCCAGTACACGAAACACTGTGGAGTATAGAGACGTCTCAGCAGCAAAGCTGTAAGATCCCCAGCATCCTTTGTCCTCTTAAGCCTCTTTCTGCAAAGATAAGTGGGGCTTCCCAAATCATCTGTCAAAGCCTGAAGCCTGACACTGATAAACAGAGTAAGATCATGAGGAAATGACAAACTTCTTCAGTAGGATTTGAGTACCACGCCATAAATAAAAATTTGGGCCAAATATGGGACAGCAGGGAAAAAAGAAGATGCTGAATAGGGAGTTTGCCCAGGGTTTGCAGCTACAGCTGGCAGCAGGCAGGCAACTTGCAGAAAGAAAAAAGTGTGATGACATACTGAAAAACTGTCCATGCATTTACAAGATCTGTACAAATCCATTTTATATCAGTGTCACCCTGAACTTATAGAATCATAGAATGCTTTGGGTTGGAAGGGACCTTAAAGATCAGCTGTAATGTTGCAAAGTATTTGTGTACGAAAATAAATTACCAGTAAATAGCTGAAACTTCCTTGGATATTACGCTACCTGAGACATTAATAGCTTATAACAGAGCACAGGTCTACAGTCAACCAAATGCACAACACAGGAAGACAGACCTTAAAGGTAAATAATTCAGGACTTGAACTCTTTAAGGTAAATAATTCAGGGCGCTAATGAATTCACTGACTGTAAATAGGGAGTTCCACTGCGAGGAACCCTCCAAACTGCCCTACATCCAATCCTCAGGAGTGCAGAGCAGAAAACTGTCAGCAGAAACATGTCTCAAACACTCCTGGCTACAGCAAGACTCTAACACAAAAGAAGTCTTGGACAGGAAGAGATAGCTTCATAGACTGGTTCCAGTGCTCCATACTGTGACCATGGGCTGCTGAAAAGGACGTGCACTTTCAGAAACACCAGCTGGGCAAACAGTGAGGTGGCTGTGATGCAAGGAAGCTGACCCATGTTGCATCCAACAGAAGCATTGGGAAAACCCTTCAAGGGTGGCCAACATAGCAGTTTGGTCTAACAATGCTAAAAACACACAAGACTATGGGTGAAGCTGTAAGCCCTTTGTTAAATATGACACCCTGAAGATAAAAAGAAACCAAACAACCCACCATGTCCTCCTCACTTCACAATCTTCCTTCTCCATCCTCTTTGATTATCGCCAAGTGCTTTTGTCCACACCTGGGAATTCCTGTGCATCCATCAAAAAGCATTTCAGCCAACCAAATCCCATCAACAAACCACAGGATAAATCCTCATAAATTCTTAAACTACCAGCAAGTGTCAGTCTTCCCAGCCTGAACTCTCTAGTACCAAGGAGCTGTTTTCCAAGCGGCAACTATTCCTGACCAAGCAAAGAAACTCTACCAAAGTTGAGATGCAGCCAACTGTCAGTTATACAATGTTGTTGCTGCAAAAAAACCCCAAACAAACCTTTTTATGCTGTCTCATACTCTAAAACTAGTATTTAAAACCACCCTAAAGTTGCCTCACACCCTCTTACGCGACCTACATGAAACCAGACTGTGGAACAAAATCCCGCCTTTTGCTGGCAGACAAGGGCACGTCAGCAATAGCCAAGGCACTGCAAGGTTGCTGACAAGCCTGGAAAAGCTGTATGGGAACACGCCTGTGGATCTGCAGTCCAAAACACAACTGCTGCTCTTGCTCCGTGCCCAGTGGAGATAGAGATCTCATCGCCAGCAGAGATCTGGGTCACCACAAGGAACCTGGAGTTATCCCAGCACCATCATCTTTTAGGTAATGCTCCCGAAAGGGGAAACAAGTATGTGGCAAGGTTTCATCTGACGAGGTGCTGGTTGTAAACAAAAACACTAACTGGGGGTTTCCTTGCTCCTTGGTGATGTCATCCAAATGGAAAAAAACCCAATGAACTTCGCCTGATGTCTTGTATCCAAAGTGCTTTGCAGAATGAGTTTGCCGCAAATGCGAGGTTCAGATTGCAGTTTCTCAAGAGCTTGCAAATGCATCTCGACTGCCAAAGTCTTCCTCCTAAACACCAGCCTAAAAAGTGTTTGTTTGCTTATCTTGCACTTCAAAACTGAAAACCCAAACCCAGGGAAGGAAAACACTAGGAAGACAAAACTAGAAAGATAATGTTTAAATAGAAGTATAGACTTTAAACGTAGGATGTTTGTGAAAAACAAATATTCTGAATCTCCATACAATTAAGTAGCTGACACTTATCCAAGCGCAGGACTGAAAACCAGATCAGCTTTCCAATCTCTGCTAACCAAAACTTTTGCAACCTTCCCATATGCCAGTTCCTTTAAGTTTACATCTTATGGTACAGGAGTTCAACTTTTGGAGAATATGAATGGTGAACATAGAAAGTGAAATATGATATTATTTACAGAATAGGAGAGCATGACGTTCACAATAATTTGTAGGCGCACACATCCCAACACTGTTCCTCAGTTCAACACCCACTCCTGAAATCCTGTACCAACCAGATTAGCCGACGTACACATGCCTGCACTCTTGAAGAAACAATAGTCTCTTTCAGTCCATACAGTCTTCTGAAGAATCAGGCAAAAACGTCATGGGAGAAGTTAGGAAATATCTGCAGAAAACAGCACACAAGATGAAAGGCAGAACAAGCCTTTTAACTTGCACAAAGTACGTAACATGGAGGATAAGCACAGAACTTAGTTACCTAGCTGCTCTTCCAAAAGGATTTTTTTTTTTTACCCAGGATGGAAAAGGGGATTGTTGAAACTTTAAAAAACCCAAAAAACAACCACTGGGATAGTGGAACAGCTCCCTTACGGACAGATCATTGCAAGCAAAATTCAGCTCCAGGAGCTGTGGCAGACCTAGGAGAAAATACATGCTGCCCTGAAGTGCCAGGATCTCTGGCAAACAGCAGGGATCCTGGCTGGCATGATGAGCCCTCCTGTCCCCAGTGCACAGCACTCCTTCCTCCATTCCCCTCCCAAACACTGTTGCTACAGAAGGCACAGAACTATTTTTTAATTAATCCAGCACAAAGTTTGAGCTGCCTCAGGGTTAAACTAAACATTTTCTGTCTTTAACCACTACAGCAGAACCAGCTACAGTGAAAAACACTTC